ATCAAGGCGTGGGAGACATCACCGGGTTGCACGTGTGTTGAACGCGGAGGCGCCGTGGTTCGGCGCTTAGATCGGAATCAACCGCGATCTGAATCGCTACGAGTACGACTCCTTCATCCGCGTTCTTGCAACGCTTCCGCTTAGCGATCTACATGGGTATGTAGATGCACTCCCCTTCCCCTCGTTGCTAGATTACTCCATAGATTGATCTTGGTGATGCGTAGAAAATTTTAAATTTCTGCTACGATCCCCAACATTAACTGCAAGCCGACGCCCACCCCGGTCGACACGAAGGCGAAGGTCTCTGCTCTCGAGGGGTCTCTTGCGTCCGATGGAGCGTTTTATCGCTCTATTGTCGGCACTTTATAGTACCTGACGCTGACTCGCGCTGACCTGCAGTACGCTGTCCAGCAGGTGTGCCTCCATATGCACGCCCCGCGTGACTCTCACTGCACTCTGGTGAAGCGTATTCTCCGTTACATACGCGGCACAATGTCTTTGGGACTCACCCTGACGGCCTCCGCCTCCACCAACCTTGTGGCCTACTTGGATGCCGACTGGGCTGGCTGCCCCGACACGCGACGCTCTACGTCAGGCTACTGCGTCTACCTTGGGTCATCGTTGATCTCTTGGTCATCGAAGTGGCAGCCCACGGTCTCCCGCTCCAGCGCCGAGGCAGAGTATCGCGCCGTGGCTAATGCCGGGGCCGAGTGCTCTTGGATACGTCAGCTGCTCCAGGAGTTGCTTTGTGATGTTCACAAGGCCACTCTTGTCTACTGCGATAACGTCAGCGCGGTCTACCTCTCCGCCAACCCGGTGCACCATCGACGGACGAAGCATTTTGAGCTCGATATTCACTTCGTGCGCGAGTAGGTTGCCCTTGGCCGTGTTCGGGTTCTCCACGTGCCGACGATGCAACAGTTTGCTGATATGATGACTAAGGGATTGCCTACTCCCGTCTTCGAGGAGTTTCGGTCCAGTCTCTGTGTCTCCGACGACGCTTCGACTGCGGGGGGTGTTGAGTATGTATTTTGTACTGTACGTATATTGGAGTTGTGGCCCACCTCCTAGTCTTGTATAGTTGAGGTAGAGGTCTTCCCTTGTATTATATATTTTCCTTGTATTATATATATGCGTGCACCAGCATCCCAATCAATCATCGTATTGCAAATTATCTGTCTACAATTAGGAACTCGCTATTACGAAAAAATAAAAGTGTCTAATTTCAAAAATAAAAGTGACTCAACTTGATCATATTACCACGTCCTCCTTCAGCTGCATATATTATAGGTGACGGGCAATATGTGGTGGAGAATATCCATTCGCAACGTTTTTCTTTTTAACATCGACAAAATGCTGTCCACTAGTTAGAGGATGCTTCCAATTAACAGTTATCTCTCGTAGGGCAGTGTAGGGCCTTGATCCAATCCTGGGCTACTTAAATGGCCAAGATGGGCCTTAAAGTTCACACTAATCAATACAGTGGGTTGGGCTTGACTGCCTGACCCACTCCTCTCAGCCCAATGACAGTTTTAAGTGTGCTGCTCTCTGCAAGTCAGTAGAACACGCCACAGTGATAAATATAAACACACCAGATAATCCAGGTTATGAAAAAAATTAAAAATCAGCAGTGCTACCAGATAATCCCGGGCGGCAACCGCTTCCGATCCAATCCAAGCTGTAGCAGCTACCCAGAAAACTAAAACCAGTAGTAGTACGCATTGGTTCAGATGCAAGGGCCAGTCTTTGATTTGAATATAGGCGGCTGGCGAGTGCAACCCGGGCATGTGCATGCACCACAATAATTGCCACAGTTTATGCTTGTCACCAAGTGGTTCCAATAGCGAAACCATTTTATAGTACTACACACAAGAACTTTATATACGCTCCGCTTTGCAGGAGTCCTATCCCCCAAAGCAAGCTCACCACACCAACGGCAAGCATTGGCTTTAACTAATCGCGCGTCCGTCCAGCGATTAGCGCATTGACATCGGGGACGACTGACCTGCATTAGCGCCGGTCGTCAGTCCATAGCCGAGGCTGAACATGGTTAAGCTACTACGTACTCTCTCTGGTCATTTTTACTCTGCATATTACAATTTTCTAAAGTCAAACTTCACAAAGTTTGATCGTATTTATGTGAAAAAATATCAACATCTGTCATACTAAAGTTATATAATATGAAACTTTAAATCATGACACATCTATTGATATTGATTTCAGATTGTGAATGTTGATAGTTTTTTTATAAAGTTGGTCAACCTTTATGAGACTTGACTTTAGTCAAATTTTATATGCGAACTAAAAATGACCGAAGAGAGTACTTTTAAGTTTTAATCCATGGCGGAGGCGGCCATTGGACGAGCGATACGGGGGGAGAGGCCGCCACGTACCGGTGGTGGCGGGCGGTGGACGAGGAGCGCCGGCACCGCTGCCGGCAGGGGGAGTAGAATACTGGACGTGGCGGGCCGCGGCCATGTGAAATGAATACGGGTTAGCACAATTTAATTTAGTATATAAAAGTGGACAGTGGTGGACTGGTGGTGTGCTGAGATGGGTAGATGCTTATCGCAGATGAAAAATCGGGAAAATGGCCGGCCCGCACCTTGTGATTGCAGTTTGTCCCGCCATTATTGTATATATGTTACACTATTAAACCCTTTGCCTCAGCAGAAAACCCGGCGGTTAGATTCTTTGTACTTTGGCAAAATGTCAAGGCGATGCTTTTCCGCCCGTCGATCGATCAAAGGTAACGTAGCGCGGCAGAGCGTACATGCTACGCTGACCTTTCCCACGGCCTATATGTAATGTACGCGCGAGCGAGAACAGAGCCGGGAAGGCGTTGAAAAATCCAAGTAGCCGCATCAAGGCCGGCAGCGGGGCTAGATCGGGGCCAAGACGCCACAAACGGGGCTTGGAAGATCCAAGCCCGTGGCAGCTAGCCGTGCGCTTAATGAACAGGACAAGGCTGGACATGCCAGTTTTTTTTCCTTAAACGTCAGGGTTTTGCTTGCTTAATCAAGCCTTATTATATAGCACTAAAACGAGTATTTAACAAAAAAACTACCACATTTCGTGGAATCGTGCCTAAAAACTACCACCTTATAAATTTGTGTCAAAACCTACCATTTTTTCACTAATCTTTGACTGAAAACTATCATGTTGGGAAAGTGCCCGATTCGCCTCTACTAAACGCGTTTCTGACAGGATGGGCCCACCTGTCAGCATCAATCTTCTTCCTCCTACTCCTCCTCCTCTCTTTGGCATTTCCTCGAACACCTCGTGTGCACTCCACGCTCTTCTCCATGGCGACGCCCCGGTGAAGCGCCGGAGACGGCGGCGCAACCACACCGGCTGGAGCCGCATCCCAACCACCCCGTGCAGCTCCCGTCACCATCGTAAGCGCCCTCTGCTTCCCCTCTACTCCCCCCCTCGGTTACTTGCCGCATCAACGCCGTGGCCGAGCGCCGGAGCTCGTGCGCCGAGCCGCACCCGCACGCGCGCGCTCGTGGCCGCCCCTCGCCATGCGCACCATGGTCGTCGTCCCCGTACCACGCGCGCTTGCCCACACCTGCTATGCCCGGGCCGCGCCCCCGCCATGCACGGCTCGCCACTATCGTGCCCCTTGTGCTGCTCCTCGCATGCTGCGGCTCCCACGGCTGTGCCCCCCGCCTTCGGCCGCCCGGACTCCCCGCATCCGCCGCCGCCGCCCTTCGCTGCTGGAGCCGCTCGCTGCGGCAGTCGCTGGAGCCGCGGGTCGGCGCTGGAGCTGCCGCAGGTCGCTGCTGGAGCCACCGGAGCCGCCCGCCCTGCGCCCTTCGCCGGCGGCCGCGAGCTCCTCGGCCGCCTTCAAACAGATTTTGCTAATGTGCCACGTCAACGCTTACGTGTGGGCCCAACCAGTCAGAAACGTGTTTAGAACAGGCAAATCGGGGTCTTTTCAGACATGGTAGTTTTTAGTCAAGGATTAGTGAGAAAATGATAGTTTCGACACAAATTTATAAAGTAATAGTTTGTAGGAACGTTTCCATGAAATGTGGTAGTTTTTTGTTAAATACTCCGCTAAAACGCGTACCCCTTCATTTCAAATTACTTGTCGCAGATATGAATGTATTAGATCTATTTTAGTAGTGTGAGTAATCGAACTCGGGCTTTTTCCCCGTGCCTTCTAAACCGCTGGTGACTCGGTGGCAGCGCGCGACGCGACGTCCACGTACGCGCGTATACACACGTACTCCTACAAGCGTCCACGATTTGGTGCACCTAACAGTTCGTCGTCGAGTTCCCTGCCCTGCCGCCGTCCGTCTAAAAGAGAGCGGCCAAAAACAAAGGGAGAGAGAGGAGGAGAAAAGGAGGTCTCAATTCTCAGAGGCCACGCGCATCCATCCCACGAAACCGTCCAAAACAATAATAAACAAAACAAACAGACCAGGAGAGGGAGAGAGGAAAAAAATATATACATAACTATATTGGCAATGGCAGCTTAGCTAGGGGCAAGCGGGGTGGGCCCCGCACGCGCAAGCTTTACTTTTCG